TTTCACTCACTCCAACTAAAGCAATAGCTTACTTAGGTTGGCACCTGGAAGACCAAATATTGTTTTTACTTAAGTGAATTAGCAATTATGGATTAGGAAAGAAATAGCAGGACCGACTGAGACCTGCTGCCTAGGTGATATTTTCCCAAGCAGGGCCTCATGTGGGCTACAGACAGAATCTGTCTTATATCTACCATGTATGCTCCCGTGACCGCCTACCTAGTTTATGAAGGTAATTAGTATGTGCCAAAATTGGACCTCACACTCACTGTGGCTTAAGTCCCAAGTCCTGGTTCCTGGTGCAGAATACCTTTGCACCTCCGTGGGAAACCTTCCCCCGACAAGGATTATCCAATTAAATTAGACCCAAGTTTCTGGCATAATACATTTTTTCCAGAAGACAAGAGAGTTGGGTTGGCTCATGTAAGGAGGGTGACTATGGAGAGAGAAGGGACAGTTGGTCGAGAAGGGGAAACTGAGATATCAAGCGAGGTACTTGACTCCATTTTTTTTTTCTTGCAGTAGACTGTGTACTCCAGAGCCTGGCTGGGAGACTGGACTTTCCTAAATTGCAGTCACCCTGAAATGTTTCTACAAGAACCATTAGAGACCTGTCCTGGCTTGCCTTCCAGAAATATATTCCCACACACAGAACAAAGGGGCGGGTTCAACAGCAGGTTATAGACTTGTAGTCAGCCAGACACTGACAGTTCTCACATGCAGTTCAGGGCACACACAGCTGATTAGTATTATCATTTGGCAGCATTATTCTGACACCAATCATCCAGGGCTGTGTCTTGTGCTGTGGCTCTCTGTTCTATTGCTTCATGTCACCTGAGTTCTTATTTAGCCACCTACCACATGATACTCCATCGTTACTAGGAAAGACACACATACTACACACATATGACACACATACTACACACATATGTACTGCAGGAGTGGTTTTTCCTTACTTGTTTTTTATTTTGCTCCACCTAGGTAAATGTCTAAGCATGTGATTTTTTTTTACTGATTTTTATTAACATGCATTAACTATATACAGGAATAGATGCCAGCATGACATTTTTATGCAGGTATCCAAAGCATTTTGATCATTTGATTCACCCCATTCTCCTCTCTTTTCTCCCTCCCATGCCAGCTGATTCTCTTCTTCTTGCCAACACTTCTCCCTCTTACTTTTCTGTCTTTCAAAGAATAACTTAGAGAAATTTGTACTGTCTGTGTTCTAAAAAGTCCTCCTTGTGGACAGAACAGAGCCCCAGTTCCCCAAACTGGGCTTACCTTGGGTGTCACACACCCCAGAAACAAGTCTTTGGGGTTGGTGTTAGGTCAATTTTGTTACCATCACATTCGAATCACTCGCCAGAAACCCCAAATGTACGTCCATATCTGTTTTCCTCATTAGACGTTGAACACGTTTGGAATTAGTAAAGGCCCTGGCATCCACACAGCTCTGGGCAGAGGAAGAGAAGGAGATGAAACCCTGTGGTTTCCACCTCTGGACTTGAAGCAAGCAGTAACAAGCCAATATTCTTGGATATTTGGATTGGTTGTGGTATTTTCTTCCTTTTCTTTTCCTTCTTTTTCTTTCACTTTTTTTTTTTTAAACATAGCTGCTGTTTACTGAAAGAATCATTGTGTTGGGAGTCCTTCAGTTCATAAGAACCCCAAATTCAGTAGAGCTTAAAGATCCAGTGCTGCCCCAAGAAAGTGCCCCCCCCCCCCCAGTGTAGATTGGAAGAGCCATTAAAGGGGTGGAGAACTGGAAAATCTCATGAGAAGAAGGAGAACGACAGAGACTCAAACTCTCGAATGCTATCTCGGATTGCACTTATGAATCATTCTGTTCTGCTAAAATATAGTTTCGGAAATAAAAAAGTAAACTAGATATAAAAACGATCACTTCTTAAAAGTTAGTAGAAGAATTGGGAAGGAAACTGATAAAGAATAATGATTGACAGTCATGCTTTGAGAATTTAGATTTCCCTCCACCCCACCCCTCTCGGCACCTAAAGAGGATTTTTTTTTTTTAAAGGAGAATCAAAATAAACTTACTAAACTCACTGACTATACTTGAGTTTTCAGTAAAAGAGACAATGGAGAATAGACATAAGCTCCTCCCCCTCCCTCTCAGTACCCATCTCCCCAGCCTGTGCAAGCGAGAACAAAAGGAAATTCTATTAAGCAGCTCCCTCCGATTGGGCTTCAGACACATAAGTAGTTTCTTGGTGTGCTCCTTTCGCCCGTGGTACAATTAATTAGGCCACAGTTGTTTATTTTGAGACATTTAACTAGAGACCTTCTTGAGAGAGGCCTTCCCCGTAGTCATTCTTGCTCTCCCCTAAGTGTGGGAACCTCTATCTAATTGGATTGACTGTAAGTGTCTTGATCACCGGGTGAGCTAGGCGAGCAGTGGGTAAACCAGGGACATTCACATGGAAATGAGGTTAATTACACAGCATCCACGGCAGCTAATGATTGCACCTGCAGGGCCACAACACCCTCCCTTTAACTCACTTTCACAATTAGAAAGAGCAGCTGCATTCGCTTCCAGAGTTAGAGTTTAAAAATCTGTAATGATCCCCAACAGAATAGAGGTGCAGGGGGCGGGGCTGCGGAGGAAAGGATTCTTCCCGTTCGGGCGTCCTTCCCCAGCCACCTGCTGATTGTGCTAATCCGAGAGAGCCTTGGGCGCGGGCACACAGCCACAATAATCTGCATGCACTCCTAGCTGTGTCCCCTCCCCCATACCATCTGATTTGGATTAGAAGTTCTCATCTGTCAAGATGGATTAAAACCATGATGGAGATTTATGATGAGAACTGTCAGCAAAACCTAGACTAGAAAGGCATTACGAATACTCAAACTTATTAATTAGGGTTTGCTATAGAAATCAAACAAATGGTGTGTGTGTGTGTGTGTGTGTCTGCTCACACACATGCACACACATGCACACGCATGCAAGCTTGTGTATGGTATGTGTGTATGCGCATGTATATGTGTGTGGCTGCCTACCTGTATCTTTAATACATACACACATAGATTTTATTTTATATAAACACTGGAACATGTAATTACCAGGTTGATGGTTCTCAACATTTTCAGTCTACACCTTAGAAAGCCAGGAGAACTTACAGGTAGTTCTACATTGGACTTCAGCAGGCTTTGAGGTTAAGCAAGGGCCAAGATTTCAATTCAAGGTTTCTGGCAAGAAGGCACCTGATATCCTAGACTCCATAGCAGCAGTAAGCAGGAATTGCCCCTCACGTAGGGAAACGCAAACCTGTTTGTTCTATCCCAACCCTTGGTTGGCTAGATGAGCTCAACCTGAATTAGGGAATGCCATCTATTTGGCTCATCCTATCAATTTAAATGTTAAACTTATTTCTAAACATCTTCCCATAGAGTAATATTTGACCATAACTAGGCACAGACTGGTCGAGTCAGTATATAAAATCAACCATCATGTAAGCCATTTTCCAAGTCATGAACGAATTGCTTGCAATGATCTGATTGAGCAATACCCAAAGAATCACCCATCCCTCCCCTTCCCATATTATCAAAACTCTCCACTGCTCATATTCATTTTCTCCTTTGTATTCCCCTTTCCCCATAGCAAAAGAATATCATCGAGTATAGGGTGCTGCTTCCTACCTGTCTATATAAATAAGGTATGGCATAGTCAAGCTGGCATATGGTCCCATCTAGTAAGTCATAACTTCCAAACTGGGGAGGTCTTTTTGTTGATGTCAGCCAGGTTGGCTGAATAAACCAGACCCTTGTATGGCCAAGTTCAAAATCTTTCTGGAAACAGGTCATTATCCACATAAAAATGCTAGGCTCATGATTTTACAGTCACAGCCCATTTGGAGATCCAAGGGGGATCCCCCAGGTAAGAAAGATAATAGGCTGCTGCCAAACTGAAACCTGCCCTCACATGCCTCCATACTGGAGCTATATACTTGAGAATCTAAGAACAGCTCTGACAGAGGAAGTTCAAATGCTTATCAGTAATGTACATATCTTCAAAAGGACTGGAGAGATGGCATGGATCTGTCTCATAGGAACAGGCAAATTTTTAAAATTTGTTACAATAGTTAGATTTCTTTAGTGTTTGTTCTTTTGGCTTTAAGAAAAGCATTTAGCCTAGTTTGGTCCCAAACTTGTGATAGTTCTGCCCCAATCCCCCAAGTTCTTTGTTACACATCTGTGCTACCATATCCATCTTATAGTTTTGTTTAATGTTTTGTGGGTCCCAAGAGACCAGCAGGGGAACAAACTGACTAGATACCATCTCTGACTGTCATCTACCGGGAGCTTAAAGGTGACATTCCTCAGTGCTCTGATCTGTCCGCACAGCAAGCGTTAAAGTAGCTTCATCTTCTAGGATGAGAGGAAGTGAAGTAAAGCTCGTCCTAAAGCGCTGTCACCGAAGCTCCTTTACCTGTCTCAAATAGAGTGCCACACATCCAGCACTGCCTAAAAGAGGATCCCAGGGTCCCCGTGCTGATTGTGTGTGATGGGTGAGGTGGAGGGTTGAGGAAAGGAAGGAAAGGGATGGCTCCTTGTTCAGCACTTCATTTTGAGACTCAATTTCGTAGGTGGTTGTTGGGTGAATTTCTTTTTTTCCTTGCAGGAAGTAAGAAAGCAGAACTTGCGTTTGGGTTTTGGTAAAATGGACTAACTTCCTGTCCTTGCAGCTGTCTAGACACCAGCTGATTTGATAAATGTGCTAAAAGCACCAGACTATCTCCATTTTACACACACAGAAGAAAGATAAGCAGAGTTGCTTTGGAAAGGTCCATGCCTGGGCTTGCTGCTCACAGCTTACCTTCTCACAGCCAACAACAAAGTCATGTCCCAGCCAGTGACTCCGACCTCAGACCCTGTTGCCATCACGAAGAATGGCTTGCCAAGGCACGAAATGCCACACTGAGTGAGGGTAGGCATGAGAACGGCACTTAGGTGAAGTATCCTCAGGGTGAGAAAGCACAGACCTTACTTATTTCCCACAAATGGATGCTGGCTCTCTTCAGCAATGGCACTCCACTGGTTTCTTCCTGGCTGGGTCTAACCCCGGTTGCGGAGAAGCTGAAAAAAAGAATCACACAACCAACAGAACACTTCAGTGTCTTTTGCTATCACCGACGGCTCTAACGTTATGCTTCTCTGTGTGACAACTATTTGTGTTTTAGACAACTTGAAAACCACAGCCTCTCTCAGACAGGAGCGAATCAGAAGACTATAGTACAGTGTTAGCAATTCAGGGGGACCCTGCATGTGCTTTCAAAGGTCTCCATTTGGTTTCACTTGGATCCTCAGAAAAACAGCTCACCCAAACAAGAGTGCTGTTTACACTTGGGGAGGCTCATTTGGCTTGTTCTGTTTTTGCAAAGCACAATGTTTTGGTGGCATCATTTCAAATCAAAACAAGGAAAGTGGTTCTCCAAACTAAAGCCAAAGGCCAGCTGAATAAGGACTTGCTAAATCAATCGGTTGCTTATTTACACTGCATGCTCCCTCTCTCCTGGGGGACTCTGTATTAAAACACACACACCAATCTTAGCTATCGGAACAGGAGAGAACATTAACATCCTTTGATTCCTGTATTCATCTGTGATAAAAGAAATGAAAACGTCAATATCACACACAATCGCCACCCCCTTCATTTGCAACAGCGACTGACCCTGGGATGCCCCACGAACCTCCAAACTGAAAAAGTCCTCAAGTCTCAGTAACAAACTCATATGCTCTTTATGTATAATCTACACACATCTCCTAAACACTGAAAAGAATCCCTGTGCTACTTAAAATGTTTGGTCCCTTGTAAATGGTACGGAAATAAGTTACAATTACGGAAACTGGACCTTAAAATGTCTGTGATGTTCAAAAGCTCCCAGTTTCCCCTCGAATATTCGCAAACTGTGTTCTTTAAATCCATTTGTTTAGAACCTGTAGATACTGAAGTTTGAGTGTAAATGTGACTCCTTTTAAAGCTCTGTAAGAGAGAAGGTTCATAGAGGCCAGGTGAACAGCTTAAGACGAAAAACAAAGGAACCTTCACCAAGTCTAGCCTGTTCTAACATGTTACCATTTTTCCCCCTTGTGAAGGGAAGAAACCTCTAAAGCTGGTTTGCAATTGTTAAGCTAATCTGTGGCCTGGGGGGAAAAAGTCACCAAACCCTTATAGAATGGAGGAAATCACACAGACATGCTCACCCCCGGATTTAACGTTCCCCATCCATGTGGTTTTGGAAGACATGAGAAGTCTGAACGTACCAACAGCGTTTGGAAGAGGTATTGCTGTGAGTGTAGAGGTCCCTACAGGAGTGGGTGCTGCTAACTCAGGCTGGCTGGACTGGGTTTTATTATCAAAAACATGCGATTCTCCTTTTACCAGATACAGCAAAGAAAAGAAAAGGAATTACGTCTTAAGCCGAGGTTACCTGTAAGCTAATGGAGTACTAAGTATGTTTTTTTAGCTCATTCATTCACCCGTTCCTTCAAAATCACCTATAAAGCAATGCATCCATCTGAATCATTGGTTAGCAGTTAGTACCAGGTCTTCTCCTGCTAGAAGGCTCACAAGGCAAGGAATACATTGAAATAAAGTAGGAGCTAGGGAGATGACTGTGTCAGTAAATAGCTTAACATGCAAACTTGTGGACCTCAATTCAATCCTAAAAACCCACACGAAAAATCCACGGATGGTGGTATACTTAAAACCCTCGTTCTGAGGAGGTGGGGAGAGAAATGGACCCCTGATGCTTGCCGGCTTGCAGACTTAGTTAGCTAAATGGGTGCGTTCCAGGGCAAATTAGAGACCCTATCTCTAAAATCAAGTTAAGTAGCACCTGATAATGACACCAAAGGAAAACCTCGGACCTCCACGCCCATGTGAGTTCACCTGCACCCCCACAAACACACACATATACCTAAACACCTACACACACACACACACAACGAAAGCCACACATATAAATAAGTCTAGGTAGTAACTGTTTTGACTAATTGAACAAAGCAGAATAATACAAGACATGATGAAGGGTGACTTAGGAGTGTCAGTGGCTGCTTTCGTCTCAGTTATAAGACAAGAACTTCCTGTCATGACAGTGTCTGACCTGAGGCCTGAATGCAAGATGGAGTCAAGCATGTTACTGCCTGCATGGTAGCTGCCTGACATGTTTTAAGTTCCCATTGTTAACCCAATGCCTATGCGACTATCCATCTTTTCGTCCTGGCTCTCTATAGTCTGGCCTTCAGCGTTCATCTGCGTTGGTCCCCCTCACAGTGAGTCTTTTCAACCTCTCCTCGCTATCTCTCTGGGCTTCCTGCTTTGAGATCGTTTGTTCTTTCTGGAGTTATAACTCCGAACACTCTTTCCTTCATCTTACCATTTTCTGTCCAACTTCTCCTGCCCTTCCAGAAAGTTTGTGAACGATACTTAATCCATGGAACTTTCTCTAAAAACCCTTGGTCCCTTAGTTATGCTCAGACTGGGGTCTCACAATTGAACTTTGTACAGGTGATGCCGGCTCTGTGTCTTAATCTTTAGCCTCTTCCAATTCCTTAGTGAAAGTTATGCCAGGTCCTTGGTGGTAAACGGCGAGAGCAGAAAGGTTGGCCTCTTACTAGACTGGGGTTTCTCTCTCTCTCTCTCTCTCTCTCTCTCTCTCTGTGTGTGTGTGTGTGTGTTTGTGTGTGTGTGTCTGTGTGTTTGTGTGTGTGTAAGTGTGAATCCATGATTGCCAAGCAGGAGAGGCCTGAATGGTGGCCACAGCAAACTATGGAAAGGCAGAAAGACCCACATAACAATACTCTTAATAGAAAAGCGATGGATTTCTGCGCCCCCTTTCATGTTTCTGTTGCCCTTTCTCGGTGTTGGGTCACAAAAGGAGCTCAGTCGCAAGGTGACGGTGCTCTCTGTCTGGGCAAAAGCAACTTTGCTTGTGAGAGAAGAAATTATTTCCTGCCATGATGTCAGGCAGGCACTGCCCAGACCTCTTTCAGTCTGCAGCAATGAGAACTTTGGAAAGTCAAGGGCCAGCAGCGCAGATAGGGAAACAGCAGTGATGCATGTGTTGGCGTGGATCACTTCTCACTGGCATCCGTTCTGGGAAGACTAGATTTTCATCACCACTCAGTATCTCCATTTTCAACAGAGGCTCATAGAATATGAAATATAAGAGAGACCTTCAGAGGGCATTTTTAAAATGATGAACCTTAAGTCTTGCGAAAGAAACTACTCTCAGGGGTCTCTTCAGGATACCAGGGACTAGCAACCAAGACATGCAACTTAGTACGTAACTTAGTACGTTTAGAACAGACCCTTGTTCTCTGTCCTTTTAAATAGGAGGAGGCCTCATTTTGTTTGGTTGTCTGTCATGCCGTCCTTTGAGTTTTCGACAAATTGCTTCGGGGGGGGGGCGGGGGAAAATCTCTGATTTCCAAAGATATGCAAGGGCAAAGACGCTTAAAGGAAAAGAAGAAGAAACTGCTGTTGATGACGCTCCAGCGCAGTTGCATCACAGCTGGCACGGCGCCAACCACAACAGAGCAGGTAGGTGGTGTTTATCTCCCCGTGTCTCCTCGTGTTTCAAAATAACCGATTTTCAGGAAGCAATGCAACCGAAATTGTCCCCGGTGTCACTCAAAGGGAACCGGGTGCGGAGAAAGTACTATGGGAAAGAGAGAGGAAAGGAAGAAGGTAAACAGCCAGGCAGGAGGCAGACGGAAAGGCAGGGGGCTCGTCGGTTTCAGAAATAACCAGAGTTGACGTTTGTTACATGCCAATTGGGCAGTATTGTCTTTTGGAAGTGACATACGTCGGAAATTTCCTGTGTAACTTGCAGTGTCGCAGCCCATCTTCGCATCGACAGGTCCCATTAGAAGATGTCTCCCGACAGAGTAGGGACCCTCAGGTTTCCATTGGCTTTGGGCAGAAGACATGGAAAACCACCTCTTTGGTTGCACTGGGCTTCCTTGTGCTGGTCTCTGGGCAGGCTGTTAAGAGTACCAACTGGTAGCCCTGTAGCTGTTATTTATCGACAGGGTGCTGCGTCTCTAAGCACTTCACAGTGACATCCTATTTACTGCAGCCTAACCCCGAGGCACTAAGAGTCACTTACCTCTGTGTCTAAAGAAACAAGAGCTGAATCTCAGAGAGGCGAAGCTGGGTGTCAAGGTCACTGGCGAAAGTAGTACTTTAGATTGGAGATCCAGTTTGACTACAGTGTGTACCTAATAAACCAACTACTCCATTGATTAGCTGGTCAGCTGATTCTTGGTGAGTTTAATTGGGTAAGGGTCAGACTTGCTGGGAGGGCAACTTTTTATATCCTCTGAAATGTTTATTGAAGTGGATGACTTCCTTTTAGAAGGGGAATCCTTTATTTGAAATGAGGTTATTTGTGAATATTTGAACCAAAAGGCATCTAGGTCAGATTGCTGTTTTAGTTATTGGAATAACTTGTAGGCAATGATCATGTGCAACAAGATTAAATTATTCTCTCTCTCTCTCTCTCTCTCTCTCTCTCTCTCTCTCTCTCTCTCTCCTGTGTGTACAATTTCTGTCAGTGCTAGAAGCACAATAAGGTAATAAAACAAAGGACTCAGCCACCTGCACAATCACTTCAATGTTCTGTACATTGGCCTCTGAGGGCTGTCTCATGGAAACTCAGAGTTGGGTCCCTTAGACTCTAATTCTTAATCATCTTATTAAAAATGACTTGACAGCTTCTGTTGGAACAACTCTCACAACGAAAGAATATAAGTAAGGGAGAGACAGAAGAACTAAGTCTATAACATGAGTAGAGCCAAGTTTTTTTTTTTCTTTAAGAGACAAAAACTATACGCAGGGGATAAGGGAAATAGCACTGCACTTCCTGTTCGTGTCTCTGTAGCAGACTGCTGGCCTCATACAACTACAGGGGTGACTAACAAGTTTGACATTTAACTGTCCACAGCCAGACTCTTGGATGACTTGTGCTAGAGGTCTGTGATTCCTCACTCTGCAGTTCTCCAGCCCTGATAGGCAGGATTTGAACCGTGTCTACAGTTGACAGTAATATGACTTTGTATTTCACAGATAGCTTTTACATTTCTCATTGGTGGCTGCCATCCTGTCCATCAATATACTTCCACTCCATTCCTATGGCCTTACCAAGTCTTATATGTCACTGATTTATAATAAATATCATTGATTGACTTAGAATTAAAGGATTAATGGCAATTAGTGATTTAAAACCTTTTGTATTTTCAGACACCTCCACACAGAAAGGTCAAAACAAAGATGTAAATCTGAGCTGCAGTCCCTGACATGAGCTTAGATACCAACTGCTAACCCATGTTGGTACTGATGGTCCTGGTAGCTAGTGATTGACTTGTATTTTGAAATGGCCAACTGGTTATAATGCAATTCGAAAGCATTTAATACATTTCAACAAACATGTTTGTTATACATTTACTGTATACATAATAGAGAACCTTCGTTATGAACCGCAAAGGTGAAAATATGTCTTCCCTGCATGCTTCCCCAAAGAACTGCTTCTATTTTTTCAAAATGTGATAACGAGACCATATCATTCTATTTGTTCTGTTACTCCAATTAACAAAAGGAGTCAAGATGTCCAATAAACTTAGGATACTATTGTCTTCAACTAGCTTTTATTTAGCTACTTACTTTTGCTAAATTTTCAATCTAATGCTAACTATGCCTTTGGAACCAAGAAACACAGTACATGATCCTTGATCTCATGGCTGCAAGAGACTGCTTAGGTAAGATTAGATGGGTTAGAAGACTCCCTGTTCACACCCTGATGTCCTTAGAAACTGTGAAAGATTACCAACTCTTATATTTTCCAAATTTGGTCCTCCTAGGAGCCAGCTACCACTTAGCTTCTTCAATTCCCTCCAGGCCCATACTGGCTTGGCCCTGCCCTGATTCCTTTGTAAGAACTGGTTTCCAGCTTACCTTCTCCTGCAGAAGCTCTCTAATTGGCTGCCTGATAAACGACATACTGCATTCTTTTTTTTTTTCTTTTTATTGGGATAATTCCCAGGCACCTGATTGGCTGCAAGGAAACGACGGTTACCAGAGGATTGCTGGCTGGGCTGCAGCTTTGCTTATGAACCCACACAGGTGGGACTGGCATTTGTCAGGCGGAATTTCCTCCTGCATTCATCTCCCTCGCTGCAAGGCAGACCTCTGGCTTGTGTCAAGATGTTGAAAGTAAATTCCTCAACACAGGAGAAGCCTGAAACTTGACCTTTTCTCCTGAGCTGTGTTAAGGTGGTTAACCTAGAGGGGGGAGTTCAAGGCATCATTTGAAGGAATCAGAACTCCAAAAGTTAGAATGGATGAATACGTGAGATGGGGGGGGCAAGACATTGATCCATGTAATATGATGTTTTAGGCATCTAAGCATCAGTAAATTTTAAGGACAGTGAGAATTCTATGGAAAAATCTATACCTCTCCTGACAGTTTGGCAAAGGCAAACCAGTCTTTCTGCTTTTCCTATGTGATATCTCTATGTGGGTAAAAGATATGTTTCTCCTTCCTGTGGGGGAGAGAAATGGCTTATGTGGAGTGGGTGATCTGACCCTTCTTGTTATATACATATCAATCCAAGTCCAATTCCCCTTTGAAGGATTAAGAGATTTTTATATCTTACTCCTCTGAGTTATGCATTATTCTTGGATGCTTTATTCCAAGCATACCCTCTATGCTTTGCTGACAACATGCGTGATCCAATAGCAGCTGAAGTCAACACGTGAAGTGATTCATACTCCTCTTTTACAATATTTCCTAGATATTAAATTAACGCTGATCTTAGTGTTCCCTGTCCTTGGAAAAGGCATAAGACAGGGAGTTAGAAAGTTCCTAGATCATTTTTTTCCTCTGCCTTTTACTGACCTGTGACCCTGAATGTACTGCTTGTCTTTTCAAAATTGCCTTTGTGTTTTGGAAGAAATAAGAAAAAGATATAAAAAAAAGTAACGGTTAAGAGTATAATAGTGACTAAATAAGGCATTAGATGTGATTTTTCTGAACATACCACCCAAAATGCTCCCTGAATGCAAATGTCAGGTCTTCTTTGCCTCATTCTCCAAAGCAGGCGGTGTGTTTCCCTTTAGTAATTAATCACTTCTTGCTGATTGATGCTGCTGCGATCATGAAGTTTGTTGCCCTTTTCTGTCTTCTTAAGCATTTTTTTTAATCTTCAAAAGATAGTCTGGCTCTCTGTAGGTCAGATTCTTCACAGGGAAACAGGTGACTTTGGCTAGAGGAACTGCCCGAGACAGCACGTAGCATTCAGAAGCAGATTGGGAGAGGCCACAGAAAGAATCCTGCCAGCCAAAGCAGAAACCGGTCACCACAAAGAGCTATTTTGGAACGTAAGGGCCAGAGAAACAGTGCGCAGCCAAGAATGAATAGCATGCTGTCAACTTGCCTTTTAATAATAAAATAATTGAGGGGTTGATAACGTTAGGGCCCTGTCAAGAAGTCTGATGGGATGTTTCCAGGGATCACCCAGGGGAGGAAACACTAGAGGAAGAACAACTCTGTCTTTTCTCGGGGCCCGTGTTCTCCCTCCTTCCTTTTCTCCTGGGCAAAGGGCAGAGCCTACATTTGTGGGTAGTTGCATTTGCTGAGGTTTTTCTACAACATCCCCTAGAGGGCGCAGTGACTCTCTTCCTCTTGTGTTCCCAGCTAGAATGAGACAGTGGGCAAACACAGTGCTGGAAAGGGAAGGCGGCCTGAGCAAACTAGGTTCATCAAGCCCCCAGTGAAGTTGTAAACCAGTTAGACCCAATTCCGGCTTGTCAGCTCCAACAACTGGCACAAAGTGCCTACTACGTGCGTGCTTCTTTCCTGTTGGCGCCATCTTTCAGTTAGAGGTACTAGTAAGTTTAGTCTCCAGTCTTCGCTGACTCCTGAGTAGTAAGTAGGTCAACTGGAATTGCAACACTGATTCTGTTACCTTATTGAAAAGTTTAGTTTGTCTCCTCCCCTAGATAAAAGAGAGCCTAAAATGTAACCTACTTGTGAACTACAGTCTTTTAATCTTAACGTAAATGATTCAAGTTTTCTGTGATAAGAATGGTTTGCATATTGCCATTTCACACTTGATTCATAGGCTACATCTTTAAGGGAGGGCACGGTCCTGTGTTTCAGAATTCTTCTGACCCAGGTGGAAGGCTTGTGAGTTCGAGGTAGCACGGAATATCTAACAAGACCCATTCTTAAGATGAAACAAACAAGTATAGCCTTTAAGCCCCACCTCAGACATCTGTTCTCTAGTTGTGGAATTTTTATATGTACTAAAAATACTAATATTGAGGAAATGCCCACAGTGTGTTTGCTAGGGGGAAAACTAGCATACCTCTCAGAAGATTGTCCTGATGGCAGACGGGACCATCCACAAGGAAAACGTGGCACAATGCCTGTCAAATTCACAAAGTAAACAATCAATAGATACTATCGACTTCAGCAGAGGTCATGGCATAATTCTGGAAGCTTTGAACAAAGTACAACTTTGTATCAAAGAGGCGTATCAGAGTTTACTCTGCATATCCACTTAAGTTACGGTCATCTCTTGGGTGTCACTAGTGAGACTCAGTGCGTATAGTTCACACGCAAGAAAGGACCAGAAAAGAATGGTTAAATCACACACAAATATCACTTCGTTTGACTAAACCAGTCAATAAGTAACTTGGGACTGAGAAATTGTATAAAGTTCCCTTCGTTTTAGTAATGCCATGTCAAATATGTTTGTAGGCAGTTTTAATTTTTCTTGAAAGAAAATGTAATATTTTTAACTTAATTTTTGTTAAAAGGGCAGATTTCTGACTCACAAAAAAATGTAAGATAAAAGGTTTGACAAAGAGAATTCGATACCCCCCCTCCCTGAGGGCTCACTATGATTCTCTATCCTTACACAGAATCAAGATTATCCCTGAGACATACATAACAATATTTGAAACCTTCACAAAAACTGACATGATTTCTACCTAGCCAAGACTGTCCTCAAACTTGCTCTATCAAGGATTCCCTTGAATCTTCTTATCTCCTCGCCACCATCTTCTAAGTAAGGCATTACAGGTGTGCACAACCATGCCCAGATCACAGAATGGTGGGAATTGAACCCAGCGTTTCCTGAGTGCCAGGTGATCACCTACCTACATCCCTAGCCCCTCAAAACCTCATTTTCATCTCAGTCACTCAATTGGGAACAAAGGACATGGAAGTTGGAATTGCATGAAGATCCCTGCATCTTTATGCA